AGTTTGCGGCCATTTTCTACTGGCCAGAGTGAGAGCCTATAGCTGGCTGCCACGAATAGGCAGGAAGTTTCTATTGGCCAGCGTGAGAGCCAACAGCTAACTGACACGAATATTAACTAGCATGCAAAAAAATCGATAGCTGCATTCGTCAGAAATGGGAAAAATTTAAATCTGCATGGCACTTTACTCCAATTGGCTCATTCGCTTGCTTAAACTCAATGTTGATTCTGATTCTGCAGAATTGGGTTGGGTGTGAAAAAGTATTTGTTGTTAACATTCTTTTTTCATTCGGTTTTTCCAGTTACGGGTCCTTTTTTAAAGCTGATCGTTTTGTGTTCATTTTGTTTAGTTCTTTTTTTGTAACAGATTTAATGTTTAGTATAGAGCTTAGAAAAATTATGAGTGTGAGATAAGCAATAAGTAAGGCATGTAGCAACATCAGCACGGCAAAGGGCATTCCTTTAAAGGCAAGGAAGGGCAAAAATATTTTAAGTCAAGTGATAGCGATTGCTGTATGAGTCGTACGATTTTTGAATCAAACACGGGCAACGCCGGTCCATGCTGCTAGTAAATGAATAAAATTATAGGCAAATATCGTTAAAAATGAATGATAAATGTTAGAGAAGCAAATCAACGATAATAAAAAGAAATGAATAGTCAGTGAGAAACAAAACAAAAACAAACATTATTACTCGACCTGCTTTTCCTACAATTTCAAAATTTACGTCTTGTTACCTGAAAGAAGAAGTTAAGTATCACGTTTAATGAGTAGAATTATTCGTGTCAATATATAAGGAAATTAACAAATACAATATTAAATGGGGTTAGTGAGACAATCTTCTGAATAAATTAAACTTTTTAAATAACATTTAACTTTTAAAAAAAATGAACAAATATGTATTTTAAATACATAATAATGCATAATAATATAATAAAAATTATAATATAATAAACAAATAAAAGTATAAGAATAAATTGATAATTAAAATAATCAAGAGGTCCTTTTTAAAATACGACATTGCTTTCTTTGAGCAATAAAAAAACACGTTGGTTCCCTCTGACATCAATCAGCGTCTTTTTGCGCGCGCACACACACACACACACACACACACACACACACACACACACACACACACACGACCTCCCCCTCTCATCGTTACCTCTGTTTTTGTTGTTATATATGTTATATGTAATAGGAGTAGGTAGTCTTTCCTACCGCCCGGTCCACACTCCTCCCCCTTCTCTTGGACATGAGTAGAGGCTTACGCTTTGTTTCTTGTTTAGGAAGGGGTTCCTATAACTCTCTCTCTCTCACTGGCCTCTGTATCTCCAGTTGCCTTGATCTATCCACTACTCTTCTCCTCATCCTTTCTTCTATCACTCCTATCTGACCTTGCTCCAAATTTTCTGTAACCCCTTGCATCCTAGTGGCTTTCCGCCTTGCTTGGGGTGAAACGCTTAAAAAATAATATATATATATTTGGTTGGATAGATGTGAGTTTGTGACCCTGGGTTTCACGGTATCAAGACCCGTTTAATCCACAAGCGAGAATTTTGGAATAAACAATCTTGAAATTTACGCATCTTTATAAGCATGTTCGTTTGCAGAATTAATTACTATGGAAACGACTGGGGCGCCCATTGTGATAAGGGGTCTCACAGTTAATCCTTATCCACATATCAGTCACCTTCGAAAAGGGGTCAAGCCAAGGGAGTGTGGGGTATCAATTTCAAAGCGGTTGATGGCATTCATGTACGCACATCGTCTCGTCAGTTACAGCTTTTGGCACCCAAAAAAGTGTATAAAGAATTTTATTTTATTTTATAAAAAACTGACATCATACGAGCATTCTGAGAAATGGATAAAAATATTGAAAATTAATGGGTGGACGAATAATTTCATCGTTAACTGTATATGCACGTATATAAGTTTTAATAGGTATATATATATATATATGGTTGGATTGATGTGAGTTTGTGACCCTGGGTTTCACGCTTTTGCGATCGTCAGACAAACTGATTAATTTTAATCAGTTTTCGTGACGATCGTTGTGTGAAACCCAGGTCACAAACTCACATCTATCCAACCAAATATGTTAGCTCTATCTCTGATATTGAGCGCTTTCTAATAAGTACCGCGCATATAATATATAAATAATTATACCCATATATATATATTTATTTATATTTATATACACTTTTCACACACACACACACATATATATATATATATATATATAATATGTATAAAAATACGGCCTCTTTCATAAAAGAGAACAATTGCACGCATAAATAAAGTGGAATGGTCCGTGCCAATGTGTAAGGAATTTAACAAATACAATGCATTAAATGTCCTTAATATAATCATTCGTAGTGAGACATTCTTAATAATGTAAACTTGCTAAATAACACTTATTTTAAAAATAAAACAACCCATATATACCAGGATTTATCTTAAAAAATAAACATGTATTTTAATAATTAAAGATTATAAAGGCATAATAACGCAATAAAATTATAATGTAATATATAAAAAAAAAAAATCAGAATAAATTGATAATTAAAATAATCAAGATGTCTCTTTAAAATACAACATCGCTTTCTTTGAGCAATGAAAAGACACGCTTGTACACTCCGACATCAGCGTTATTATTATTATTATTACTATTATTATTATTATTATTATTATTATACTTCTCGGCACGATTAACATCTTAAGTTACGGGTTGGTCTACGGAGTTTTCCTTCTCGTTTTTAAGGGGGGGGGCAAAAAAACAACAATAAAAATAAAAGATAAAATTTTATTTTAAGTCTGTTTGATTTCATTTCAACTTTCATTTTTTCTTTTCCTTTTTAATTTGAAATGCATTTCTATAACCTTATTTATTTTACCAGATTTCCAGCGAAAGTTTCTGTAACTCAACTGCACTTTTTATTTAAGCATAATGTATATTTGTCGATGTGTGAGTGTATGTGTTTGCGTCTGTGTGTATATATATATGTGTGTGTGTGTGTTTGTGTGAGAGATTATCTATTTTTTTTCCTTTTTTTTCAGCGTGCTAATCGGTCCCTGGTCACTTTTTGATGAACTTTTTGGAGTGAGGAACTTATTTTTTAGGGTTCCGTATTGTGATGAGGGTAAAAAAATTACCGCAAATGTAAAATCCATCGCATTTTTTCTGTTTAATGAATTATTATTATTATTATTATTATTATTATTATTATTATTTGTGTATATTATGTTTACTGCATTGTATCCTGTGGATCCGGGTTCTAAATTATGGGTCTTAGGCCCTATAGGAGAAGTGTCATTTGATAGCACTTATCTTCTTCTTCTTCTTCTTATTATTATTATTTCAAAACTTAGAGAAGAGTTCGATTTAGGAAAAGAAAAGAGAAGACACAAGATTTAACAATATTTTAACAGTATAAAAGCATCAAAAATAAAAAGGGATGTAAGACAAGGAGAGAATTAGGAGTGCAGCCACAATCTTAACAGCATAAGATACGCATATGACACAGTGTTGATAGCAGACACAGAAAAAAAAACTACAAGGACCCGTACAGAAGGTAGTGAAGGAAAGCAAGAAGAAAGGACAAATCACCAATTGCAAGAAGACAGAATGAATGGTTGTTAGTAAAAGGAACAGTCCAACATGCCAATTACGAATTGGAGATGCCAAAATCAAACAATCAGAATAATTCAAATTGTAAGAAATGGGAAATACAGAAAGAGAGAAAGAAAAAAAAAGAAAAAAAAAAAAAGGAAAAGGGGGAAGAGAGAAAAATAAAAAATGAAAGATTTCTAAGAAATAAAGGGTGTTTCATTAAGACGGATATAAAGGTGTTTCCTTAAGACGAATCAAAGTCAGCCGTAAATAAATCGATGTTATTGGCGAAAATTTGTTTATTTCTCTATTGGATCAGGTTATTTAAGTCGTGGCAATTATGTGTGAAAAATCAATCGCCCAAATGTCCGCCAAATCTGAATGAAAAAGAAAAAAAATCATTAGACGCTTAAATTTTATTGACATTTAAAATCGGTCCAAGTTATTGGAAGACCCTTTAAAAAAATACAGTATGAAAGAAAGAAAAGGGTGAAAAAAGAGTAAATGAAAGAAAAAAGAAAGAAAAATCCAAAAGCGAATTAAATACGTTAGGAAATGAAAAAATAAAGAAGAAAAAAGAGGAAGAAAGACTAACTGAAAGAAAAAAGAAAGAAAAAATTCGAAAGCGAATTAAATTAATTTAAGAAATGAAAAAATACAGAAGAAAAAGAAGAAGAAAGACTAAATGAAAGAAAAAAGAAAGAAAAATCGAAAGACAATTAAAGATCGTAAAAATTAAAAATATCGAAAAAATAGAAAGAAAGAAAGAAAAGAAAGGAAGGTAGAGAAGAAAAAAAAAGAAAGACCATAAGAAAAGAGAGAATTAAAACGAACGAAATGAAAAAGAACAGAAAAGAAAAAAAGACGTAAGAAAGAAAGAAGAGAGGAGGAAAAAGAGAGACAATATATGAAGGAAAGAACGAAATTAAGAGAGAAAAATTAAAAAGCAAAAGCCGTAAAGAAAGAAAGACATATATAATGAACCACTAATTCATGTTTGAACCGTAAACCTTGGACAACTGGGAATGGAGAGACTTGTGGTCTAACTACATTGCTCTCAGGAAAACAAGGAAGAAATCGACGGTCATATGCTGCCTATCTTTGGTAAATGTCAGTGTATGAAAGAAAGGTCATTATGGTATGGAAATGCTTAATGCGAAGAATGAGCCCCGAGCTGGACGTGTTAAGAACATGGATTCTTCGAGAAAGAAGCTATTGAAAGATTTTTGACTTTCTTTCTCTTTTTAAATTTGGTTCTCTTACTCTCGTTGGGGATTACGTCTGGTAAAGGTGGGTGGGTGTTGGTTGTTCTTGTAATTGTTCTGTCTCGGCAATTGATCCAATTTTAAGCGGATTGGGAAATGTCTTTGTTTCTTCAATATAGGCTGAAACTGCCTGTCGATAATGAAAGCAGCGAGTGAACTAAGTAAAAAGAAAGAGAGGAAAAGCAAATAAGAACAGAAAGAGAAAAAAGAAAGAGGAACAAAATAAATGGGAAAGACAAAGTGGGGAGTAAAAGCTTTGGAAGATTTACGAAAAAGAAAAAAGAAAGAAAGAAAAATAAAAAGAAAAAGGAAGAAGTTTAGATATGTGACCAAAAGGTGACAAAGAAAAAAAGAGAATTAGAGAGAGAACGAAATAAATAGAGACAGACAGGGACTGAGAGAAAAATAAATATAGAAAGAATAGGTAATATAGAAAGAAAGAGAACTAATAAAGAAAGACAAGGAGAAAAGAAAAAAGGACAAAAAAAGAAAGAGGGGGTTACATTTGTAAATAGGGAAGATACTGAAAAAAAAATTGAGATAACGAAAGACATAGATAAATACAAACGTAAAACAAGAAGAAAGAGAAAGAAAAAGACAAAAAGAAAGGAATTAGAGGAAGAAGTGAAGTAAGGAGGGAGAGAGAAAAAAAATAGAAAATCAAAAAAAGAAAGAAAAGAACGAACGAAGCGATGAATAACAGCTGAGGTAAAGAAAAATATAAGAAAAGAAAGGCGGGAAGAGAGACAAATAGAGAAAATAAAATGAAGGGCGAAGAAACAGAAAAAGAAAGAAAAGGAGAGAATAGAAGCAATTGAAAGAGGAGGAGGAGGAGGAGAGAAAGGAGCTCAAGAAGAAAGGGGGGGAGAAAGAGAAAGAATAGAAGAAGAGAATAGAGAAAGAAGGAAATAAAGGAAGAACGAAAAAAAGGAGAAAGAAAGGAAGAAATAAAAAAAATGTGAAAACGAGAATGAATCGGAAGAAGGAAGAAAAAAAACTCGATGTAACGAAGAGAGACGAGAAGAAGAAATAAAAAGAAAAACAGGGAAACAGTAAGAAGAGAGAGAGAGAGAGAGAGAGAGAGAGAGAGAGAGAGAGAGAGAGAGAGGGGGAGAAATAAATAAAAATAAAAATAGAGAACCTGAAAGGAGAGAGCGAAGAAAGAAGAGAGTGAAAAAAAGATACAGACACATAAGGGAGAAAGACAATGTATAGAACAAGCCACAAAATAAAGAAAACGGAGAAAAGACACAGAGAGAGAGAGAGAGAGAGAGAGAGAGAGAGAGAGAGAGAGAGAGAATAAGAATGGATGGAAACAGAGAAAGAAAATAAGAAAAATGGGGAAAAGTACAAAAAATAGAAAGAGTTTAATCATTTTTTTTACAATGACGTTTACCCTGTACAAGCCCGAGAGCCACTCGAGGTAGATGCTTACAGAGTAAGATGCATAGTGTATGCGGATATGTGGGGAAGATTACGGTTAATCCTGTTGACCATGTTTGCCGTAGTCTCTGAATATGAAATCCAGTGAAATCCGTAATGTGTTCAATATCAGAGTTTGGCAGTGAAGATTCAGAGAAAGTAGCAGCTGTTAAGTAATTCTTTAAGTCTTCGATATCAGGTTGGCAATGGAGATATTTTGGGAGAAAAAATAAAATGGCTACCTTTATACACGTCGCATTGAATATTTCGAGCTTTCTGATTGGTTAACCCTTCTATTGGTAAACTATAAAATGAGTCAGCTCATTTTGACTGGCTCACTAGTACATACATATCCAAAAAAACTGCAAAAAAACCCTAGACTGGAACAGGTTAAAATTGTAGTGATCAGGGAAGCAACCTCTTGGGAGTCGGATCCGCAGAACAGCGGTTCGTGGGAAGAAGCTACTGGAGTGGAACTTACCTCTCTCTAACGGAATACGTAGAGAATGAGGGTGGTTCGCTGCAGTGTGGGTGGCATGGTGGAAGTAAGGAATGTAGTTCGTCCGGAAACTTTCGATGGGAATAGCGATAGAGCAGCGAGAGGCTTGCTACTTTTAGTCTGTGGGAAAGTGGGTGTAGGGTGGAAAATAATTTGTCGCCCCCAAGGACGGGGAGGCGCTTTTAGGCTCTCTCGAGACTGGAAAATGAAGACTCGGCAAGGGGGGAAGCCACTAGCATGCAAGGGGTTACAGAGAGTTGGAGCGAGAGCAAATAGAAGTGATAGAGGAAAGGATGAAGAGAAGGATAGGGGATAGATCAGGGAATATGGAGACGTCGATTGACATTACATTTGAATAGTTGGAGATTATAGCTATCAGGAAAACAAGAAAAGGGGAGGTATTTCCACAGGCGAAAAGTGCGAGACATGAAGCTATTGGAGTAGAAAGGACTGCTCCATTTAACAGTTTCGACAGTGGAAGGGTGAGAGCGAGATGCCAGTCGAGCTGAACGCTTAAATTCATGAAGCCTGGGAACCAGCGAAAGCAGCTCATCAGAGCAGTTACCGTGAAAGTATTTGTAAAAAAGACAGAGGGGGCGACGGCACATCTGTGAGAGAGCGACATGTAGACGAGATGCCAGATCAGGGCCAATTACATTGCATATACGTCTCCGGATTTTATCAAGGACCTTGAGACAAACAGAAGAGGCTCCAGACCATATATGGCAGCAATACTCCATGCAAGGAAAGGATGAGGAGAAGGATAGGGGATAGAACAAGGCACCTGGAGACGTCGATTGACATTACATTTGAATAGTTGGAGATTATAGCTATCCGGGAAACAGGGAAAGGGGAGGGAGTTCCACAGGCGAAAGGTGCGAGACATGAAGCTATTGGAGTAGAAGAGACGGCTACATTTAACAGTTTCGGCAGTGAAAGGGTGTAAGCGAGATGCTAGCCTAGTTCCCATATATATTAGCAGTATTCCTATTTCGGTCTGATCTGGTTCTTGTTAAGGTAGAGGATAGCGCGAGTCGGGTTCTTATTGCTGCAGTACAGGGAAGCGTCCATTTTCCCATCTTCTTTAGCCATGGATCGTATGTACGAATTGTACTTGAGATCCGGGTTGAGTTTAAGTTCGAATAGACGGTCCAGGCACGGGGAATCCCTGAGGGAGCATCCATTCATAGGTCCCATCGGCGATGATGGAATGTCACGAGTCTGGTTTTCGAGGCATTGGATGTGACACACCAATGAGATGCTAGCTCGGAGGAACGAGAAAGAAGAGATGAGGAAAACAACGGTAAAGAAAGAAAGAAAAAAAAGGAATCTATTTTTTAAAAAAAGAAAATGATATGGAAGTCTTCAGTAAAACATACAGCAACGCAAGAAGCATTAAAAAAATTCGTGCAAAAAACTATGCAATCTATCTATCTATCTATCTATCTCAGTCATTTATTTATCTCTCTCCTTATCTATCTATCTATCTATCTATCTATCTATCCCCCAGACATTTCTTAATCTATCTATCTATCTATGTTTCTTTCTTTCTATCTCAGCCATCTATCTATCTATCTATCTATCTATCTCAGCCATTTCTTTATCTCTCTCATTTTCTCTCTATGTATAATCTCTTCATTATCTATCTATCTATCTCTCTCTCTCTATCTATCTCATCCATTTCTCTCTCTCTCTCTATCTATTTCAGCCATTTCTCTCTCTTTCTCTCTATCTATCAATTTATCAGGCATTTCTTGTTCTATCTATCTATCTATCTATCTTTAAGACATTTCTTGATCTATGTATCTATCTATCTCAGCCACTTCTATTCTAATTTTCTTGATGGCTGAAGTAGCGTTTGATCTCAGGTAAATCCCAGGATTTTCAACCTTAAATCCTAAAACACTGAGGACATATCATTCACTTTCGGAAGATTTGCGTAACTTAACCCCTACGCTACAAACAATCAATTTTTTAACAAATCTCTCGAAGCTCACATACCTTCGCATTTTATTCCGACTCTCCGTCCACTAAGCCAAAACATAGAACTGCTTTCCTAATTATTTTCGTATGACAACACCCATATTGCCATTAGCCAAAAACTACAGTACACCTAAGTCAGGAAACTGGGGAGTTATTTCCAGACTTCGGGTTGAACTCCACTGAAAGGTTCAGCGTGTAAACTTTTGATGGTTGACCAGAAAAAAATGTTCGAATCTCTTGAGAGTTGTTTCGGCTCTCAATGTGTAGCACTTCAGCAACAAGAGCCTATTGAAACGCCGGCACTTGCAGAACAGGGGCCTCATTAATTGGATTTCTCGGTCTTGTCCGACTTTTTTCTTTATTCACAGATTGTTACGAAAAATATCGATCTTTCACTATTGCCGGCAGCAAACCGGTGGTTTTACAGATAATTGGGTGTATAGAATAAAACTACAAGTTTCAGTTCTTTGCCAAGTTGAAACGCCCATTAGACATATTTCTTTCGTCCTGTTAAAATGGTTGATTGATTTTTTTTAAGGTTTATCAACCCTTTGCGGGTTATTTTAAGCCAGACAGTATTTTCAGAATTCAAGAATGCTTTTGAGTGAATAATGATTTACTAATGCAAATAATACTAATTAACCCATAGCTGAGGAAAAAGATGTGGATTCATACCTTTCCCGAGGGTATTTGCGCGTAAGTGAATATAACGAACCCAACTGGAATTTGAACTCGGCTCCCCGATTTACCATTTTGAGCCGTTATCCATTATACGACCTGCAGATTCAAACTTACATCACCTGGTAACCCCAGGTGGTTATCCATTTAGGTAGTGTGCCAGGTTCGACTTCGTTGATCATATGAGAACCTGTCCCGTTAAAAAATGGAAGATATTTTAACTATTGCTGAGATATCACTTGCTACTGTTTCGGACCAAAGTGCATAAATGATTGGAAGTGAGAGTGAAGTCAGCAGTGCGAGTAATCATTTCGGCCTCGACAGAGTTCAAAAGTATTTATGCGGGCTTGTAGGCGAGCAATTATTTTCAACCCTAAAACCTAAATCAAGCCTACAACCCAAATTCAACCCTAGGACCCAAATTCTAATCTACAACTCAAATCAACCTTACAACCGAAATTCAACCTTACAGCCCAAAACAACTCTACAACCTAAATTCAACCTTACAGCACAAATCAACCTACAACCTAAATTCAACCTTACAGCACAAATCAACCTACAACCTAAATTCAACCTTACAGCACAAATCAACTCTACAACCTAAATTCAACCTTACAGCACAAATCAACCTACAACCTAAATTCAACCTTACAGCACAAATCAACTCTACAACCTAAATTCAACCTTACAGCCCAAATCAACTCTACAACAGAAATTCAACCTTACAGCACAAATCAACCTACAACAGAAATTCAACCTTACAGCACAAATCAACTCTACAACAGAAATTCAACCTTACAGCACAAATCAACTCTACAACAGAAATTCAACCTTACAGCACAAATCAACCTACAACCTAAATTCAAATCCTACAATGGAAATCAACCCTAAAATCCAAATTCAAATGTACAACCCAAATTCAACCATACAACTGAAATCAAAACTACAACCCAAATCAACCCTACAACACAAATTCAGCCCAACAACATGAATCAACCCTACAAAGGAAATTCAAACCCTACAATTAAAATCAACTCTACAACTGAAATCATCCTGACAACCCATATTCTAATATCAAATCAACCTTACGACCCGAAGTCTAATCTACATCCCAAATTCAACACTAGAACCCAAATTCAGCCCGACAACCCATATTAAATATACAACCCAGATGAACTCTACAACCCAAATTCTAATCTGCAACCTAAACCATGCCTACAACCCAAATCAACCCTAGAACTTAAATCCAACCTACAACCCTCATTCAGCCCTACAACTCAAATCAACCGTACAACAGAAATTCAACCCTAGGGCCCAAACGAACTGTACAACCGAAATTCAACCCTACAACACAAATTTAACCCTACAGCCCAAATCACCCCTACCACCCATATTCTAATCTACAACCCAAATTAACCTGTTGAAACTTGACTAATGCATGGAATAATAATACAACACAAAATGTACTTAGAACAAAATGTATTGAAACAAGAAAGTGTACACAATATTTACATATAGTCTTTTGTATATTCCTGGTAAGACCGTTCCTGGAGAATGTGTTGACTTAGTCGCAGTCGGGCAGAGTCTCTGGATTGAATCTCTTGATTCCTCCTCTCTCTTCCCGGTACCAACCATATTTATATGGTCGGTACTCCACTATGCAAATTAGGTGGATCCTACCACAACATAACCTTACAACACAAATTCAACCATACAAACCAAATCCACAGTATAACCCAAATTAAACACTATAAAAAAGAGATGAGTAAATTTTAAATACACTCCTTGTATTT